TCATAGGTTCTGAACACCTCACAAACATTAGTAAGTTATTCTCACAACACCTCTGTGATGTAGGACAATATAATTATCCCCACTTATACATGGGAAACCAAGGCATAGAGAGATTAAGGGTAACATTTTCAAAAGTGCCTAAATGGATTAGGATTCTGTCACCTTTTCAAAAGTGCATTTTAGGCTCCTAAGTACCATTGATTTACATAAGACTTAGTTTCATGAGTGTCTAAGTCACTTTGGAAATGCAACTTAGGCTCCTAAATTGCTTAGGAGCTGCTGAAAATGTTACCCTTAGTGACTTGCCCAAGGTCACACAGGAAGTCTGTGGCAGCCCCAGAAACTGAACTTAGATCTCGAGTCCTAGTCCAATTCCCTAACTCCCAACCTTTGTTCTTGCATTCTGCTGCTGTACAGTGCTTGCTATAGAGAATAGCAGCACATTCCTTCTGTTGGTACTACTCTAGGGTAAATGTTCAGCTGCCTCCTGGGAAGGAGGAGGTATGAACAAATCCCAGGGCTTGTTAACCGGGTTTATGAATCGTGTACCACCCACGGCCCTGTGTTCCTCAAGCTGCCTGGGGAGGGGTCTCTGGCAGCAGAAAGGATGGCATTTCATGTTGGCAGATAAATAACTTGTTAATAACTCTGATCCTCAGTCAGGAAAATCGGCTGCCCATGCAATGGACAACAGAAACTCAAGCAAATGAATCCCTGAGAGTTTGTCTCTCCTGGGCTCTCAATGACCCATCTGCCAGTGCTCAGGAAGAGCAGGGATCTGTCGGATTTGAATGCAGAGGGGACAAAAGATGATGAGAGGGAACAAGGAGTCTGCTGAGACTGAGAATGGAGATAGGGGAGGAGAGAAACTGACTATAACTGGCTGGGCAAGGAGACTGGGAATGGGAGCTGTGAGGAGTGGAGACTGGGACTGGAAGTCAGTGATGGAAATGGGGGGAACAGAAGCAAGTTGGTTGTGTGTGTGTGTGGGGTGGGGGCACTGAGATTGGACAAGAAGCTGTGGAGAAAGGGGAAGACTAGGACTGGCACTATGAACCAGTCTAGGGGGAACAGGAGTGGGGGGAGGGGAGATAGATCTCACAAGGAGCTGGGGTGTGGAAGGAGAACTGGGCAAAGAGATTGGAATATGTAGCCAGGAAGGGGCTGGGGAGGACAGATGGAGTTTGGATGGAGAGATGGGAGGGACAAGGAAACTGGGACTGGGTTTAGGGATGGGAGAGACTAGAAGTAGGAGGGAGAGATGGGGCCTCAGTGAGCCTGGAGAAGGATACTAGGACTTGCTGGGCAAGGAGTCTGGGATATGAAGCCTGAGGAGTGGAGACTGGGACTGGGTATGTAATGAAAATGGGACTGGGACCAAGGGGCAGGGGCAAGAGAGGACTGGACAGGGACAGGTTGGAGGGGACAAGGCAAGAGAAATTAGCAGAAGACTACACTCCCTTCCAGAATCTAAAATTGAACCAGAGATTCCTGAGACTCACCATGAGACTCTGCTATCAGCAAATATCTGAGAACCCCACTGGCAAAGTGCATGTCATCACCTTCTGGTGGTGGTCCACAAAGAGGTTGACAACCTACTATCACTATCAGTACTTCATTAGCTCAAGTGACAGAGGTCAGTGTGGTGGATTTAAAGGTTCCAGTCCTACTGATGGCCCACCCCCATCTCAATGTGATGCCACATAAAGGAATTAATTTTTTTTTTCAGTTTGTTGTTTTAAAAACCTAGCAAATTACATAGAAAAAAATACTGTAAAAGAATATTGTTATGGTTGCAAAATCAAGAACTCAAAAGTTAGGAAATGTCAGAAGTAAGGTTGCCTGTGCAATTTTATTTATTTGCAATTTAGTGTCTCATGAGTAAGATATGTTTCCCATTCATTGTACATTTTTCTCCCCCACACAACACAGCCAAGTTGATGAGAAGAATTTGGACCCAACATAGCAACAACCTTAGCAACAGGGCTAACCAACCATGAGAGCAATTGGTACGGGAACCCACAAGGGGAGAGGCAACTCTCGATTTAGTCCTGAGTGGAGCGCAGGAGCTGGTCCAAGAGGTAACTATAACAGGACCGCTTGGAAATAGTGACCATAATATAATAACATTTAACATCCCTGTGGTGGGAAGAACACCTAAACAGCCCAACACTGTGGCATTTAATTTCAGAAAGGGGAACTATGCAAAAATGAGGGGGTTAGTTAAACAGAAATTAAAAGGTACAGTGACTAAAGTGAAATCCCTGCAAGCTGCATGGACGCTTTTCAAAGACACCATAATAGAGGCCCAACTTAAATGTATATCCCAAATTAAAAAACACAGTAAAAGAACTAGAAAAGAGCCACCGTGGCTTAACAACCATGTAAAAGAAGCAGTGAGAGATAAAAAGGCATCTTTTAAAAAGTGGAAGTCAAATCCTAGTAAGGTAAATAGAAAGGAACATAAACACTGCCTAATTAAGTGTAAAAATGTAATAAGAAAATAAGAGGAGTTTGAAGAACGGCTAGCCAAAAACTCAAAAGGTAATAACAAAATGTTTTTTAAGTACATCAGAAGCAGGAAGCCTGCTAAACAACCAGTGGGGCTCCTGGACGATCGAGATACAAAAGGAGCGCTTAAAGATGATAAAGTCATTGCGGAGAAACTAAATGGATTCTTTGCTTCAGTCTTCACGGCTGAGGATGTTAGGGAGATTCCCAAACCTGAGCCGGCTTTTGTAGGTGACAAATCAGAAGAATTGTCACAGATTGAGGTGTCACTAGAGGAGATTTTGGAATTAATTGATAAACTTAACAGTAACAAGTCACCGGGACCAGATGGCATTCACATTCTGAAAGAACTCAAATGTGAAGTTGCGGAACTATTAACTATGGTTTGTAACCTGTCCTTTAAATCGGCTTCTGTACCCAATGACTGGAAGATAGCTAATGTAACGCCAAGATTTAAAAAGGGCTCTAGAGGTGATCCCGGCAATTACAGACCGGTAAGTCTAACGTCAGTACCGGGCAAATTAGTTGAAACAATAGTAAAGAATAAAATGGTCAGACACATAGAAGAACATAAATTATTGGGCAAAAGTCAACATGGTTTCTATAAAGGGAAATCATGTCTTACTAATCTATTAGAGTTCTTTGAAGGGGTCAACAAACATGTGGACAAGGGGGATCCAGTGGACATAGTGTACTTAGATTTCCAGAAAGCCTTTGACAAGGTCCCTCACCAAAGGCTCTTACGTAAATTAAGTTGTCATGGGATAAGAGGGAAGGTCCTTTCATGGACTGAGAACCGGTTAAAAGATAGGAAACAAAGGGTAGGAATAAATGGTAAATTCTCAGAAAGGAGAGGGGTAAAAAGTGGTGTCCCCCCAAGGGTCAGTCCTAGGACCAATCCTATTCAACTTATTCATAAATGATCTGGAGAAAGGGGTAAAAAGTGAGGTGGCAAAGTTTGCAGATGATACTAAACTGCTCAAGATAGTTAAGACTAAAGCAGACTGTGAAGAACTTCAAAAAGATCTCACAAAACTAAGTGATTGGGCAACAAAATGGCAAATGAAATTTAATGTGGATAAATGTAAAGTAATGCACATTGGAAGAAATAACCCCAACTATACATACAATATGATGGGGGCTAATTTAGCTACAACGAATCAGGAAAGAGATCTTGGAGTCATCGTGGATAGTTCTCTGAAGACGTCCACGCAGTGTGCAGTGGTGGTCAAAAAAGCAAACAGGATGTTAGGAATCATTAAAAAGGGGATAGAAAATAAGACGGAGAGTATCTTATTGCCCTTATATAAATCCATGGTACGCCCACATCTTGAATACTGCGTACAGATGTGGTCTCCTCATCTCAAAAAAGATATACAGGCATTAGAAAAGGTTCAGAGAAGGGCAACTAAAATGATTAGGGGTTTGGAATGGGTCTCATATGAGGAGAGTTTAAAGAGGCTAGGACTTTTCAGCTTGGAAAAGAGGAGACTAAGGGGGGTTATGACAGAGGTATATAAAATCATGAGTGGTGTGGAGAAAGTGAATAAGGAAAAGTTATTTATTTGTTCCCATAATACAAGAACTAGGGGCCACCAATTGAAATTAATGGGCAGCAGGTTTAAAACAAATAAAAGGAAGTTCTTTTTCACACAGCGCACAGTCAACTTGTGGAACTCCTTGCCTGAGGAGGTTGTGAAGGCTAGGACTATAACAGGGTTTAAAAGAGAACTGGATACATTCATGGAGGTTAAGTCCGTTAATGGCTAATAGCCAGGATGGGTAAAGAATGGTGTCCCTAGCCTCTGTCTGTCAGAGGGTGGTAATGGATGGCAGGAGAGAGATCACTTGATCATTACCTGTTGGGTTCACTCCCTCTCGGGCACCTGGCATTGGCCACTGTCGGTAGACAGGATACTGGGCTAGATGGACCTTTGGTCTGACCCAGTACGGCCATTCTCATGTTCTTATGTTAACTCCTGCATCTTAAAACTAGCCTGAGATGATGTCTTTAAAAATCTCTCACTATTATTTTAATCTAGTGCCAAAAAGTGGGGAAGTGGCACTAGCTGATGCAAAGATATATTAGCTACGGAGATGTGTGACTAGATCAGGATGGATTGGACTAGTGATGTGGACTTCGCTGTATATTTTGCTTTGAGTATGGCTTTTCCCCCCAAACAATCAAGAGGCCAAACAAATATACAGTCTCAAAGTGACCATTACTCTAATTTGAGAAGAACCCCCACCCCCCCCCACACACACCCATGTTCCTTTCTTTTGCAGCTCACAGACCAAATTAGTTGTAACTAACAACCTAATGATGCTTGATTTCCTCTGATCTGTTTGATTTGCCAGGGGCTTATGAAAGGCTTTATATGTTTTCTTTGATAATAAACTATACCGGATTCCATTGTGTTTAACTGAAATCTGAACTACTGTGAAAGCTGAATGCCCTGGAATGATTCTCAGCCAGAGAAATTCCCTACCTGCAGGACCAGAGATGGGAACAGTGCTGAGTTGGAGGCTCTCCAGAATCTTTTGTTCCAATCTGATCCTTTTCTGGCTGTCTCCTTTGATGAATAGATTGCTCGAATCCGGAGCTGCATCTCGAGATGTCTTCTCTCCATTGACTAGAACACAAAAAAAGCCACAGTCTGGTTTATGACTGCACTCAGACAGTGTGTGTCTCAGGAAATGGAGGTAAGTTACAGCTGATGGCCACTCTGCCTGGGTCAAGAGTCTGCCAGCCACAGGGCAAAACAATATTAAAAGGAGGGCAGAAGGGCAATTTATTGCTGCTGTGGGAGTTGAAACAAACAAAGGGGAAAAGGAGGGGGGAGGAAAGCATGCTGAACAAAAATGCAAAGCAAATGAAGCTAATAAGCTGAAATAGAGAACTGAAAGGGACACAGTCTAACAGAGTGGGCCTCACCAAGATTTAGGTACTAAAATGGTAGATAGATAGGTTAACAATATTTATTTGCTATTTAAAGTCTGGTGATCTCATCTTCACATCAGTTCCTGTTCTAGGTTGCAGGAAGATACTGGGATAATTTAACACACTTACATATTAAATAATTAGCCACATATGAGGCTAGAGATGGGCCAGCCATAAATTCTGAATCCAAATCTGAACTTCCCCAGAGCATGGGGAGATTCTGTAACCTGGTGTTTTGACTGGGCAAGCTATAGATATTGGGCCAGCCATGAAGTTTGGGTCTAGATCCAAACTTTCTTTGAAGTTTGGAGGACAGTTTAGATCCTGGGTTTTGATTCAGACCTATCTTTGGCTAGGTCTACACTACAGCGGGGGTCCGACCTAAGATACGCAACTTCAGCTACGTGAATACCGTAGCTGAAGTTGCGTATTTTAGGTCGGCTTACCTGGCGGTGAGGACGGGGGAAAGTCGACCGCTGCTGCACTGCCGCCGACTCCGCTGCTGCCTCTTGCCGCGGTGGATTTCCGGAGTCGACGGCAGAGCGATCAGGGATCGATTTTATCGCGTCTTCACTAGACGCGATAAGTCGATCCCAGAAAACCGATTGCCTGCCGCCGGACCCTCCGGTAAGTGTAGACAAGCCCTTTGTCTGAGTCAAATGAAACTGCCCCATTCCAACAAGAACACTTCACTTGATGGTCTTACGAAATTAGTGTCAATCACAGAATACCTAGGTTTACCTCTTTTCCCAGGCAGCATCCAATTTCTATTCATTTATTTGTCACAGATAACAAACCAACTAAGGACGAATGTTTTGCAACCACAAATTGACTTTTGAGCCATATTGTGTAGACAGGTGATGCCACCATCTGGATTTGCAGTGGACACTCCTGCACCATATGTCTCCATTATCCATTCAAATGCAAAGTCAAAGCTCAAGCAAACTGATAAAGCATGTAGTGAAAGAGTCTCCTTCATCTGCACACAGGTACAATTTCAGGGATTTACCCTGATATTTCTGGAAAGATTTAGAATACAACTGTACCCCTTCACACAATCACAAATAAATGGATAATGAGAGGCACACTTACTTGTTAGATAACAGTCCAGGCTAAGAGACACATTGTCAAAAGCAATAATGGCATCGGATTCTTCTTCCCATGAAGTGATGATCTGAAACCAAAACCTATACAGATGGGGAAAAAGAAAAGGGATCTAGTTACGTTAAGGAGATGCGACTCCAGAGTTACCAAAAATAAAAGGATAAGTTTTAGAAAAGAGAAAACTTCTCCTTTGACATACGATCATGCAATCTTATAGTAATGGAGAAAGAATACTGAACCCTGCCTCGCAAAGGTCAATTGAGTACTATGCTGATGGGGACTGTAGAAATACCTAGATAGATACAAAGGGGAGAATGCTTATACTTTTGTTACAGAAGGCAAAACTGAGGCACAAGGAGAATAAGTGTCTTGTCCAAGCTCAGACAGCAAGTCCGGGGCAGAACCATGAATAGAAACCAGTTCTCTTGATTCTTAGTGTAAAATTTTCAAAAGCAGTGTGACTTCAGAGCATAGGTTCCCTTTTCAAAAGTGACTTAGGCACTTTGGGCTGGATTCACCATGATGACTTAGGCTCAGCATTGAACTGCCTAATGTTTAGGGGCCCTGCCGCCTAGTGGGATTCACAGCCCTGAGTTAGGTGCCCAGGCTCCCTATTCAATACATGTGGAGAGTTAGGTGCCCAAGAAGGGGATTCACAAAAGCCAGCATGCCGAGCGGGGACCTGTCCACGCTAGTCAATAGGTAATGCTGAGGAGAGGAGTGTGGTATAACTCCAACCCTTCAAAGGCAGTTAGATGTCTAACTTCAGGCCGGAGGGAAGCTCATCCCTCCATTCGGGATTCACAGCTGTGAACCCTTTCCTTGAGATAGGTGCCTAAGCCAGGTCAGGCCTTTCTTTCAAAGAAACCAAGGAGGATGAGGTTCAAACCCCTCCTCTGCCAGGTGTGTGGTAGGGATTTAAACCCAGGTCTCCCACCCTAACCGCTGGGCTTATATACAATGACTTCCATTCTCTCTCTGGCCCAATCAATATTTGTTGTATCTGACCCAAATTCACAAACAGTTTTGGTTCCCTGAGAAATGCGTTTTTCAGCAACTTAACTATTCACTGAAAAAAAAAATCATCGTTTCTAAACCTGGGTGAGTGCTCTAGCCACAGGGCTATTGGGTAAAAAGGGAGAACCCCCACCACCGCCCCCTCTAACTGTGTTTTGTGGGAGGCCTCATCCAGTAGGGGACTTCTGAGAAAGCCTTCTGGATTGGGCCCTACATGTACGATAGGCAGGAGGATGTCTACTTTGAGGAACATTCCGGGGCTTAGACATGAGTTAGGCGATGGGTGTCAAGACTTGGGCAGTTTTGCGCATACCTAGCAGCAGAATTTTAAGCACCAAGGAGACTTTACCTGCAGAAACTTAGATGCCTAGGGAATTTAGACACCTATAAAGTTAGGTGGCAACTGAGTAGAGGTTTTGAGGATCTAAATTTTGGATTTAGGTACCTAAAGAAGCAGTTAAGCACCTAAATCCCTTTGTGGATCTACCCTTTAGAAGCCTAAGTCACTAAGGTGCTGCTGAAAATTTTACTATCAATCTGCTGCCCTCTACACTGGAGTATACATTTACCACTGATTCATCACAAAAGGAAATTCAGAATCTCTAACTCAGATCTTGCAAGACAAATGACAGAAGAATTTGCCACTTGCAGACTATGGGAACTGTAGAACTGTTTACTTTAGTGCAAAAGAGACTGAGCATACATTTGCATTAAATCACTTTCATGCTCCCAGCTCGCCTTCAGAGGGGAGCTAGGAAGAAATATCATGGCAAATTCATTTTCAATTATTTTTCAAGCCAATTGATATAGCAAAAATATTAATTTACAATAAATATTTCCAGTTCTACAATATATAGTCAGTGTAATGATATAGGGTACTCATGGGCTTAAACTGACTCTTAGAGTCTAAGCTGTGCAATTTCATCTGTTCCTGCTGCTTATTTGCTGCCTGGAGTCATAATCCTTTCCTTAGGACACAAGAATAATTTCTAACAGTAACCAACTGTGACGCTGGGACAAGATGTTGGTCTCAAAGGTTGTATCAAGGCCACAAAAAATGATACCTTCAGGTGAGGACCGAGGAGCAAGAGAATATGAAATCTTAAAAACAGGAGAGATCTTGAGCCAAATTCTCTGCCGCGTCCTGATTCTCTGCCTTATCCCCAGCCCAGGGTAGAACAGTCTACCCTGGTCTATCTTGTCTATGGTCTCCCAGGGTATATGTACGCTGCAATTAGGCATCTGCCGCTGGCCAGAGCCAACTGACTCTGGCTCATGGGGCTCAGACCAAGGGCTGTTTAATTGCAGTGTAGATGTCCAGGCTTGGCCTGCAGCCCGAGCTCTGGGACCCTCCCTCCTTGCAGGGTCCTAGAGCCCAGGCTCCAGCCTGAGCCCAAACCTCGACACTGCAATTAAACAGCCCCTTAGCCCAAGCTCTGCGAGCATGAGTCATCTGACATGGCCAGCTGTGGTTTTTTAATTGCAGTGCAGGCATATCCAAAGAGACTATTTGTCAAGCTGGGGATAGCTGGGGTGAAGCCCACTCCACCTACTTCCAGTCCCCACCAATGTCATCCTTCCTGTGCTAGGGACCACGGGGACAGAGGCAAAGGATCTGGCACAACCAGGAATCCACAAGCAGCAAAGTTGCTGGTGGTCTCTTTGCACCACCTGAGTGGCATAAAGGGAGTGAAACAGAGTAGAAAAATCTGCCCCCTTATCTCCATGCAAATGCCCTGATCAGAGAAGAGTTTATTTATTCCTTTACTCTTTATTTCTGCAAATAGAAAACTGCAATGTTGTGATACTGAAGTTTCTCCCCTCAGCATGAAAGGGGCGATATGAGCTAGAGAATGTATCAAAAATAGAATGATTTTTAAAATGTTCTGAAAGACAGAAGCAGCAGCTGTTTAAAAGAGGCTGATTGACACTGGGAATTGCATATATTCTGAAGGAGAAACATTGCTAACAATCAGAGGAAACTCAATGAGATGTCAAAACATAAACATGTTTTCTGAACTGAACTACCTTTATCACCTAGGAAGCAACAGCTCGATCTAAATAACTCCTGAGAAAAATCACAGAAGCATAGTCCTTTCCCTCCCCAGCTATGTGCTGCAACAACCTCGTACTGCCAGAAGCTCTGGAGTTTCTAGTCAATCACCTGAGTCCTAATTAATACGGGCATGGGCGTAAATCTGGGGAAAGCCTTGCACAACATTTTTTGCTTTTGCAGTCCACAGTGTTGCACGCACACACAGGCCTCTCTCTACCCACCCATCCAAAGCTGAAACCCCAATATGCTTTGAATAAAATAATCAAAGTATTCTAGGTACTGGTGTACGAATGGACACAGTGACATTAGGCATCCCAAATGGCTCACCTTCCCCTCACTCAATACTTGGCACAACACGTTTAGCATTTAAGGCACAGGACTGAGTGGCTGGAGACTTGGGTTATATTACAGGCTGCATCACTGACTCACTATGTGTCCTTGGGAAAATCACTTAAAGCTGGTTTAAATGGCATGTAAAGTGTTCTAAAGGGGTGTGATTTGGAAAGCACTTTAATGTGTTGTGCTCTAGGTACCTAGTCTGCATTAATGAGTGCACCAGCAGGGCCTACATAGGGACAACTAAAGCACAACAGGCTAGAGCATTTTGTAAATCACACCTCTCTAGAGCACTTTGCTGCATCACATAGACAAGTCCTTTATCTCCTTGTGCCTCAGTTTTTTCCATATTAAATAAGGATAATACCCGGAAGAGGGGAGATTATGAGGATACCTAAATTAATGTTTGTCAAAGTGTGTTCTGATCCTTGGATGGAAGGTGCTATATGAATATAAATTATTATTGCCCTAGCACAGGGTTTATCCAGGCCATCGAAGTTTATTGCTTGAAAATCCAGTGAAACCACAGAAGTGAGAGACAGAAAAGACTCAGTAGGCCATTATCCTGGCTAATGCATCACTTTTGCATACAGTCTATTCTCCAGTGCTTTGGGATTCTGGTTTTATAAGACACAAGCAATGAAATAAACTGAAGTGGAGAATTAGTGCTCCAAGGCCACGCATGTAGGAAATAGCATAACCTGTCCAAGAAAGGTGGAGGAGGGCTAGTGAGATCCAGGTCAAGTAGCATGTCCTTGACACGAGAGTCAAATCAACTGCTTTGAGGCCTCAGGTTGCCGAGACGAAGAAACTGAGGAGGTAGAAGGCATCGGTCTCCTCCTCTTGGACCTTTGCCTTCTCTTAGATTGGTCAACCTGACAGTAAGGGTAATATTGCTGCCTAGGCTGGTATTAGAATAATGTTTTGTCCTCTTTGTTGCCAGAGTGTAGAGGCCCAAGAATTTCAAAACCGCTTGAGTCCTTTAGCATGTACAAATCATTCTCTGTTTTAGATAAGAACGCTGCACATCTCTCAAAGGGGAAGTCCTTAGCTGCCTGGTGCACATCCGCAAGAATCCCTGAGGACTACAATCAGGTTGAATGAAGCATAGTCACCACCATCACTGTTGTCTTGGCTGCAGAATCTGCTGCATCCAAAGAAGCCTGCAAAGCTGATTGAGAAATGAGGCAGCTCTCTGAGATGAGTGACTAAAATTGTTCTCTGGAACCTTCTGATAACTTGCTCACAAACTGAGATATTGCCACTTAGCTACAGAAGTCCTACCTTGACAACTGACGGTAATTGCAATGTGAAGTTGTAAATTTGCTGAAGAATAAAAGTCTGTCTACCAGAACAGTCAAGCTTTTAGGCACCTTTGTCTCTGAGGTAGCCTTAGCCCAGCCCTGCTGGCTCTTCTCATTCACCACAGCCACTACTAAAGAGTCAGGGGTGGGATGTAAATAGTGTTCCGCATTTTCAGTTGTTACCGGTTTCCACTGATGAATTACCAATTTCTTTATTAAAAGGAGTTCAGTTTTTACTGATTTACACCCGTTTATCAATCCACTTGGTATTTTGTTGGGTACTTTTTATTGTTAAACACTAGTCCTTTATGCGACTGTTGTGTCCTGCAGCACTAGGATTGAAGCAGTTACACAGTGTAAAACACAGAGC